AAAAACAAAGCCATAAGGCAAGCCAACTACTTTGTAATGTAGATAAAATATATATAAAGAAACCAAAAAAGTGTTAACAAGAAGTATTAAAGCATTTAGATAGTTCTGTCTTATCAATTAAATAGATCTTTATGGTGCTGCCTAGGTATAAATTATTAGGACAAGTCACTCAGCCTAACTTTGCACCCACTAATCCATTTGAAGTCACCATGAGGGGGGGGAAAAAAAATTTGTTTCTAGATTCTGCAGACTAGTCAGTGGTGAATGTGACATCTTCCCTCAAAGTAACAGCAGATGTTCCTCTGTCCAAAATCTATCATGAGACAAGCAGAATGAACAATCAGGGCAATCCCCAATCCTTTGCATCCCCCCACCACCGAAACAGCACAGAAGCAATGTCACCATCCTACAGGTCTGGTAAAGAAATGATATTGATTAGTCTGAAAGGAGCTACTTCAGTTTGCTCATCTTCTATGTATTTCATAAAATCATAAAATAGGCTGAGTTGGAAAGGACCCATTAGGAACATTGAGTCCAACTCCTGGCCCTGCAGAGGGCACCCCAGAAAGGCCACCAAGTGACTGAGCATTGTCCAAACACTTCTTGAACTCAGGCTTAGTGCCATGACCACTGCCCTGAGAAGTGTTATATACTCAACCTCCCTCTGGGTGAAAAATCTCTTCCTGGTATCCAAGCTAAACCTCCCCTGACTCAGATTGATGCTGTTTCCTCAAGCTCTGTCATTGGTCATGAGAGTGTAGAGACTGGTACCTGCCCCTCATGAGGAGGTTGAAGACTGCATTGGGTTTCCACTCAGTCTCCTCTGGGCTGAACAAACCAAGTGCCCTCAGCAGCTCCTCATGTGGCTTCCCCTCTAGACCCTTCCCCGTACTTGCAGCCCTTCTTTGGGCACTCACTATTAGCTTAATGTCTTTTTTAAACTGTGGTGCCCAAAACTGCCCCCAGAACTCAAGGTGAGGCTGCCCCAGTGCAGAGCAGAAAGACATAATCCCCCCTCCCTTGCCCAGTTGGCCTGATGCCCCCCAGGACATGTTTGGCCCTCCCGGTTCCAGGACACTGCTGACTCAGATCCAACTTGCCATTGATCAGAACCCCCAGGTCCCTTCCTGCACCACTGCTCTCTAGCCTCCAACTAACTTAAGGCAGTTACATACAGTAAACCTCTTATGATTGTGAACTGTATGCTCAGCAATTTCATAAAGTCAGTAAGTTGCAGACACTTCCTGAAAGGGAAATGTGAACACATCCATCAAATTTTAGTCCTGAGAAAAATTTGTATCACCTTTCAGCCACTAAAAAGATAAAGTAATTAATTCCCCATACAAGGGGATCCTGTTGTCTTAAAAGTGCAGCTTCAGCAGTAAGTTATAGATAAGCAAATTACTAGTTGTGTATTAGCTGCAAGTTAATGAGAAAAGCATTCAGATTCCCATAAATATATGGGACCAACAGGAAGGTGCTAGTTCTCTTTAGTATTCTAGCTGGATTGTCTTAAAACTGACACTTAACACATGTGGCAATGAAGTACCAAAGACTTCAAAGAAAGTTTCTAAGAACATTCAGTAACTACTTTATACATTAGTGCCGTTAACAATTGTGCTCACCAGTCTAAAATCCTGGTTTTCAATAATCACCCTCAAAATTACAGTCCCCAAAACCTTTATCACAATGTCACTAAATGTTTGCAGCAAAGTCAACCAAACTTCACACAGCTAGGGAGAAGTTTCTCTCTCCTCCTCTTCATTAGCTTCACACTTAATAGCTCGTCTCCCACCATGTCAGGCAAAGCCAAGACCAGGATCTGTTCTAGGAAACTTCATTGTACAAACTTCTTTGGAAAGTGACACTGTGACTACCTCATCTTTTAGCCCACTTCTATGAAGTAGAGGACTCCCTTAAACCAACAACCTTCTTCCGTCAAGATAAGGTAGGTCATCACTCCTATATTAAGAGGCAGGGGAGCAGTTTTACCTACTCACTAGGATAGGTGGATGAAAAAGATTTGAGGAACAATAAAAATGAAAAAAATAAGTAATTATTAGAGGAAATGCTTGAAGCTTTGAAGAAATGCATCACAGAAAGAAAATCCATTAAAACAGTTTGAAACTGCAAAGGACATTAGTAAAATGGTTACTTGGAGGCAGTACTGACAGCTCAGCAGTGATGTAAAACATTCAATAGTCTAAGAGACATCAGAATCTAGAAGGTAAAGATAGCTAATATACTGTTGGAAACAGAAACACCAATGAAAGACAGGTGCCATGGTAAAAGTTACACGTTGAAAGTGCTTTGCATTAGTAAGATGAGAGGACACAGGCAGCATGAAACTCTAGTTTTCAAGGCCAGGAAAAGGTTTGTTGCAGTAATCAAAAGGTAAAAAGGTAAAAAAGGTTAAAACCTTGAGTTTCACCTGCATGGACAGACAACAGTCTGTACCGTCAAGACTGGAAGAAGGTCCTCCCTGAGTTTCTTGAGATTCTCCTCCATTTTGTCTTGGAAGTTTTGCATACATGTTCCCATAGCTGCAATTGTTGCCTGTATGAGGCCATGCACAGTATCTGCATATGCTAGGAGCTTCTTCACCATATCCAGCACGGTCTCCTCCTGGTCATCCCGCTTCATTGTTGCTAAAGCAGAAGCGTACTCTTGTGGCCCAAGTCGAACAAGTTTTCGCCACATCACAGATGTACGTGGCACCAAGTCTGGATTTCTAGTACCTAAGTCACCCACGAAGACAATCTCTACCATAAAACCTACTGTTTAAACATGCCAAACAAAAACAGTCTGCAAGAATGACTGAAACCTCATTCTAGGTACTTGTATCTACTAGGTGTCATAGTAGTATGTATAATTAGCTTCACACCTCACAACCAAGTATGATTGAGACAGTACTGTTGTACAGATCAATCAAAATTAAGGAACCTTACTTAAGAACTCTGCTGTAATCACACTTTTCTGTGAACATGAACATTGAGCTATCAAATGCCATGAACAACAGAAGACCAATATGAAGCAGAAGGTCAAAGAATTATCAGTACCAAAATAGTTACTTGACATATTTTGGCGAAAATATCTGGGCACGAGGAAGTAAAGTATTCACCTAAACAATGGAAAAATAAAACTAACTGATGTGTTTAAGTATGAGGAGAAAACAGTAATCTGAGAAGATCCTTGCCATAACAGAACGCAAATAAGCCAAGTAGAAAGACAAAAGAATTCTCCAAGTTTCAGCAGAAAGATGCAAATTCCAGGAAGCGCATATATTTCCACTGTTACACAAAGAACATACACCTCAAATATGGAACTGAAGGGAACAAAACTAGCAACAGTCTATATAGTATCTATAATTAATTATCTATCTATATAATATCTATATCTAATAACAGTCTATCTAATATCTTATGATATTAGAAGGAGGAGACAACAGTTCCAAAGCAGCTGATCTTGCTTCGTCTGAGGAAAGATTGTATCACATTCTTACTGCAAGAAGCAGCAGAACAGCAACAGCTGAAGGGGACAACTCTGGGAAGACTGGTGAATATAAACTAAAGATGTTTACAGGTGAGGTAAGTCTCTGGAGGCAGGAAAGGGTCATAAGGATGGGATCACACTCCCCCTTGCTATCCTAGACAGTCTATAAGACCCTGCAGAAAAACAGAAGTAGAGATAGAAATACACAACAAGTCATCATCAAAAGATGTAATAAATACTGGTAAACTCTAAGCAGCAGAAAGGGGAGGTAAAGTGAGGGGCTTGCATGACTTAAGATAGCTATTGCCAAGCTTCTGTTCTAAGAGAACAGAAGAACTCATTAAAATTTATTATAAGGTGATTATAATGGCAGTATATAAATTAAATACTGACATTAAGCTTCTCACAAATTGCATAACAGATTTGCCTACTACTATTCTTGAGACCACTTATCATGCCTCCTCAGGCACTGACAATTCATCTTGAGTCTTGAAGTCAACAGCCTAAGACATGCCGCATCACAGGATTTGTTAAGTGTAATAGTACTGTTAGCTGTTTGTAGGCTTCATCTTCAAAGGCTGCACCTACAACATTTATTTGCTTCCTGTTGTTTAACATTAATATCAGAACAGTAATTGCCACTGACACAGAGTTCAAAAGTAAGAAACAATCCTTAAAGAAGGGGCCTCACACGTGCTTCCATTCACCTCCCTCTGGATATTTCTTTCCCTCTTCCATTAGCTGAGAGAAATTATGAGAAACAGCGACAGCAGGGCAAACTAGCTTTTGCCAAAACACCGAGAGACATTTGTTACTCCCCAAGGCAAAATATAGATACCCACTGCCACTTAAAACACCACTGTACACACCTTGGGGCAGAATACCCAAATACTGCAATACTGCAGTCCAGGTTCTCCTAAAGCTCTTCAGAAAAACGTGAAGCCAGTTTACTAGCAGAACTCTGATGATTTCAGCTCAAGAAAATACAATACTACTATGGTATCCCACCTTGTTTTACAGAGCCCTTCTATTAATCGTTTTAACTAAAGAAAATATTAACATGACTGTAAGCAAAAGAAAGATTTACAGTGGTGCGAAAGTTGTGGACAACAACTTCAAAAAGCAACTGGACAAGGCGGCGCACAAAGAGGCTGAGCCAGGGCCGAGACGCAGCGCTCGCTGCCGCGCTCCAGGGCCCGCGCACTGCACCGGGCCCGGTGTCCATGTCCAGGGAGCAGCGACCCGCGGGAAGCACCTAAGGACGCAGGTCCCAACCTAGCTTCGTCCGTCCCCGCCTCGCGGACAGCACGGTGGCCCGCCCAAGGCGCTCCCTTTGTCCGGCCGCTGGCCCCACTGGGACCAGGAAGACCGCGGGGAGGTGGCGCTCCCGGACACGGCCCTGAACGCGGATCGCCGGGCCTCGCCGGGCCTCGCCGGGCCGCGCCGGGGCCCACAGCAGCGCGGGGCCGCTATGGGCCAGGGTAGCAACGCCTGCAACTCCCGCCTACCTTCGTTTGCCAGGTCCGCCATTTTACTTCCTCAG